AGGGAAAGAGAATCGTCCTTGAAACAAGCAAAGAAGAGTGCGAGTCCATGGCAAAACCCTCGTGGATATGGAAAGAAAAAGAGGGGGGGGGGGGGAAGAAAGAAAGAATAGAAAGAAACAAGACAAGAAAAATCAAGGAACCAAAGAAAAAAGGGGTGAGGTACTGTCCCATATCCGTCCGAACCCGGGCTGCAAGAGAGACTTGAGGCTTTGAACAAAAGGAAAGATAGGAGAATAAGAGAAACCGGAAATACAGAAAAGAAAAAGAAGAAGGAGAAGAAGGAGGAGGAGAGAAACGCTGCCATCCCTTCTCCCATCAACAGGTAACGACTCCTTCTTCAACACGTGTGCAAGTTCAAACATACAGAACTCTCGCCCATACACATGAGAACAACAATCTCCCCCCACATAGTCGATCCTTCTACCATCGTGACATCGTTAAGATCCCCCCCTCTCGAGACTCCCCTGCTTTCTCGAACCGGGAGGGGGGGTAGGTCTCTCTCTTTTTTCTTTTCTATGTGCAACAGAGGTCAACCCTCCTCCTCACCAGTCGGGTTCTCCTCTTCGGTCTTGGCCCTCTTGGAAGAGGTGGACGGGTCAGTCTCCGACTTGCGCTTGCTGCCAGTGCTGGCCCCGTCGTCAATCTTGGCGTCGCCGATGTCTTCCTTGTCCTTGTCCTTCTCCATGGCTGCAACCTCGTCGGCGGTCAGGAAGCGACCTCCGGGACCGCGGGGCCGCCGCATGGCGTGGTTGTGTCGCGACTCGTGGAGGTACGGTTTCCGACCCTTGGACGTCAGCCGGAGCTGTTCGTCTAGGCGTTGCCGTGCTACCCTCCTCTTGAGGATGCGATGGAACTGCTTGGCATTGACGTACAGTGGCGACTCCTCGACCGGTGGCGCCATCTCGGGCGACTGCGGGTGCTGCATCTGCGCCGCCGGCATCTGGGGCGGCGCCACGCCCTGTCGGTGGTTCATCATGGGTCCCTGGGGACTCGCCACTTGGCTCATGCGCCGGTCCGGCATATGCCCCATGTTGCCCATCCGCGGCGACTGGTGATTCTCCTTCTTGGACCCCATCCGCGGCGACGTCTGCGACATGCTGGGGTCTGAGTGCATGTAGGGGTAGTTAGTCCCCGACGCGGCGGCCGTCGCGGCCATGGCGGCAGCCTGGATGCCAGGCATACCGTAAGGGACCTGCTGCATCCCCTGCTGGGGGACACCGTACTGCGGCTGATACATGTTGTGGCCTTGAGGCGGTTGGGCGCCGGGAGGTTGCTGCGATCCGATGATCGGCGAAGTCTGTATCGCGTGCTGGGCGTTCTGCTGCTGGGGATACTGCGCGTATTCCATAATCTCGGAGACGATGCTCTAGAGAACAAGAGCAAGCGTCGTCGTCGTCGTCGTCGTCGTATGATGCTATTCGCTATCCCTGTCGTCTCGGCAAGGCTGATGGTGCGTAGAAGTTGACCCGCGACGCGTAGAGGTCGATGAGGGGCAGAACAGCGTCAGTAGCGAATCGCGGTGCACGGTTCCCCTGGAGAAGCTTAGGAGGGGGGGGGGGTTCAGAGCGCGATATATGGTTGGGCGTGTCCAGTGTCAGGCGTCCGTCTGTTTTCGGGCTGGCGCCGGAAGTTGGGTGCCAGGGATTCCGGCTCTGCTAGCGATGCAACGTGTGCTGGCACGAGGTCCGAGTGGGAGGGGTGATGCAACCCCGAGAGTCGATAAGCTGGGCTCGACGTATGCTGATTGCGGTCGACAATTGCCAGCCTAGCTGCAGATCAGGACAAATAGATCTATCGATACCGCGCCAATGTTAGATGACCGTCTGCCTCGCCAACCGGAATAGAATGGAGGGGCACTGAACATGGTGCCATGCCGCAACGGCTCGAAGGAGGGGGGGGGGGGGGAGTGACCAGGACGATAGAGTACATCAACATGAGTGGGGTGCTTCATAATACTCCACGACGGCGCTCGGAACGGAGCCATGAATCGGCCTATCCGCGCGCATCTCCCGGTTAATTCAGTGTTGGGAGGAGAGGGGGGGGGGGGGGGGGGGGGGCAGAAAAAAAAAGCCGGCAGAGAGTGGAGGAACATACCAAGACGGATGCCGAAGCGATGTAAGCTAGCGCGCG